AATAGAACCATTATGGAAAATGGTATGGCACTTTCTCAGAAAACTAGAAATAGAACTACCCTATGATCTAGCAATCCCACTCCTAGGTATATACCCTAGAAATCTTGCAGCATTATTCACAATAGAAAAAAAAAAAAAAAAGAATATGGAAACAACCTAAATGCCCATCAACAGATGAATGGATAATAAAACGGTGGTACATATTGTGGTAGTTAAATTTGTATGTCAACTTGTCTGGGCCTGGTTGAGTGGCTGGGCAGCTGAATGTAGTTATTCCCTGTGGCAAAATTGGTAACTAACTCCTTGGTGGAATCTATTGGAGCAACTGAGCAGCTGCTTTGGGTATGTGGTCTGCTTCCCGTATATAAGAAACAGCTTTGGGAATGGTCTCTAGCTTATGGCACACTTGAACACTGCATATAGCCATGTTGTTTTTCAGCAGCCTGACATGCTCTGCCAATCCTGGGACTTTCAATAGACTTGAATCAATGGCCTGCCATGTTTGGTAACATGGGGACTGTGCCATCTTATTTGTCGATCTTGGGCTTGTTAGCCTCAGCAGCCAGTAGCTGCCTGAGTAAAGAGATGCCTCTAGCTTCAGTGGGCCAGGAGCAAGAGGCAGAGCTGAAGCCCAAGGTCAAGGGACTTTCACATAGCCCTCAGAGCCTGGCACTTTGAACTCAGACTTCTAGCCTCCCAAAATGTACGAGAATAAACTCTTGTTTGTTAAGCCCATCCCATTTGTGGTATATTCCTATTAGAGTGGCACTAGGTAACCAGAACATGTATATACAATGTAATACTGTGTAACAATAAAGAACAATGATGACTCTGCAAAACATACTGTATTATGGATGGATCTGGAGAACATACTCCTAAGTGAAATAAATCAATCATAGAAGACAAATACTGTATTAGTTCATCATTGTAAAAAGTCAAGGAAATGTTTATATATGGAAGGAAATTTTTTTTGGTTACCAGGGATGGAGAGGAGGGAAGGGAACATTGCTAGATAAGTAGAGACAAGTATTGATTTGGGTGAAGGGAAGGGCAATGTACCAAATGTGAGTGATCAACATGGTAGCATTGAGGAAGAGGAAGACATAGGTACATGGGAGGTACCGACAATAAAGATGAACCCTTTTGCATGTGCAGTACTGTGTTGTCAGGGATGGCAAGCATTGATCTACAGGTCGATAGATGGGTGGGCAGACTGATCAGGTATGTCTAGGCAGGGGGGAATGTGCCCATGACCATCTATAGGGTTAGCAGACAATGTTTCTATGTGCATATTTGTATGCTCTGTAAGAATGTCCAGGTATATAGTAGAGCTGACAAGGGACAAGGTTATGGTGGCTTCTTGGCCACAGCCAGTTACTCTGAGGGAGCAAGTAGTTGGATCTGTGGGCTCAGGACCATGGTTGCAGGGGACATCAAGCTCAACTGGCATAACATACTACACAAAAACATTGTTCTACAGCCTACTTAGGTGAGTAGTGACTGGGATCTTAAAAGCTTGCAAGCAGCCATCTAGATGCAATGATGGGGCTCTCCTCATCCAGAGCAAACAAGAATGAAGAAAAACAGTGGAAACAATTAGTCCTAGGGACTTGTAGACCATGTGATCCTCAGCCTATTTGACCATGAAACCAGAAGAACTAGATGGTGCCTGGCTACCATTGTCAACCACTTGGAGGGGGATCTATGTAGGAGATCCTGGATAGAGTGAGAGAACAATGTGGAACAAAACTCAAAATCTTAAAGGAAAGAAAAGGACCAGGTTTGCCAGTCTGATAAAATCTGGTGAGACCCCTGAGACTATGGCCCTTAACTACCTTTCAGGTCTGGAATTGAACTCACTCCTGTGGCTTGCAACCAAACAAAAGATAGGCATATGGGATGAACACTTACATCAGGTAGATACACTCCTTGGAGTGGTCCATCATGGCAGAACATAAGGTCAGCGTTTGCACAGGGAGACAGTGCAGCTAGGGGGGTGGGAGTGCATGGGAGGAAAGGATGCAGGGAAGAGGTAACTACAGGGGGGAAATGGGAAGAGAGCTGATACATTGTAGGGAATTGCAGTCAATGTCATAAGACAAAATGTGTATGAACTGCTGTATGGAAGACGAATTTGCTCTGAAAACTTTCACTCAAATCACAATGAAATTTTAAAAAATAAAATATTCTTAAAAAATATTGTATGAACCCAGTTTTATAAGAAGACAAGTATATATATATATATATATATTTATTATTATTATATTATCAGTATATGTCTGTGTGTGTGTGTGTGTGTGTACATATACCAATAATATTCATTGGTGGTTACCAGAGATGGGGAGGAGAAGGAGGATCACTCTTTAGATAGTGTTGTTGTTAGGTGCCATCAAGCAGGCTCTAACTCTTAGTGACCCTGTGTACAACAAAACAAAACACTGTCCAGTCCTGCCCCATCCTCACAATCCTTGCTATGCTTGAGTCCATTGTTGCAGTCACTGTGTCAATCCATTTCATTAAGGGCCTTTCCTTTTTCCACTGACCCTCTACTTTACCGAGCATGATATACTTCTCCAGGGACTGGTCCCTTCTGACAACATGACCAAAGTAGGTAAGATGAAATTTGGCCATTCTTGCTTCTAAGGAGCTTTCCAGCTGCACTTCTTCCAAGATAGATTGTAAATATTATAATTTTTGATAATGGGAAAAGTAGAAGCAAATGTAGGTGTAATGAACACAGCCTGACCAAAGTAAACAATTCCACTAAGAAGCACACATGGAAAAAGGATGTGCTAAAGAACGTGACATATATAATTTTGCAACAATACCAACAATAACCAGAAAAATGAGTGTATGGTCACATATGTTTGTGTATAGGCAACTATGTGTATAGGTAGGTATAGGTGTGCACATATGTGTACACAGAAAAAAGTATCTGTATGTACAGATACGTTTTTACACACATATATTCATAGAGGACATATTTACAGGTCCTTTTCAGACATAACCAAACATCTTACAAGAGCGGTTTTCTGTGTTTGAAGGCTTGGGACCTTAGTCTCATGGGACAACTCAGTCAATTGGTATCATATAGTTCACAGCATTCATGTTCAGCATCCTAGTGAGTTGAGTAGCTTCTGGAGTCTTAAAAGCTATGAGCATCCATCTAAGATACAACTATCTGTCTCTACTCATCAGGAGCAAAAGAGAAAGAAGGAAACTGAAGTCTCAGAGAAGAAATTAGCCTTCAGAGCTAATAGCCTTCACAAGCCACAGCTTCATCTACCCTAAGACTAGAAGAACTAGATGATTCCTGGCTACAACTACTGACCATTTTCATCAGGGGCACAAAAGGTAGACCCTGATAGAATGAGAGAAAATCATAGAACAGAACTCAAATTCTTAAAAAGTCCAGACTTAACTGGACTAGTTGAGATTAGAGTACTCGCTGTAACTATCACCCTGAGACACTCTTTAAACTTTGAGCAGAAACTATCCCCTGAGGTCACCTTTTAGCAAAATAACATATTGTTGTTGTTGTTATTCTCCATTGAGTCGGCCCCGACTCATAGCGACCCCTCCTTGGGTTTCTGAGGCAGTATCACTACGGAAGTAGGAATGCCCAACCTTCCTTCCGAGGAGTGGCTGGTGGGTTTGAACCACCAGCCTTCTGGTTAGCAGTCAAGTGCTTTAGCCACTATGCTACCAGAGCTAAATAATTTATATTACCTGTGAGTATGGTGTACCATAAAAAAAAAAAACATATATATGAGACCTAAAGATCAACAATCACTCTCAAGCAAAGATGAGAAGGAGGCAGGGAAACTGTTATTGTTAGGTGCTGTCCAGTCAGACTTAGAACTACTCTACGTACAACAGAATGAAACACTGCCTGATTACGTGCCATCCTCACAGTCCTTGTTATACCCGAGCCCATTGCTGTAGCCACTGTGTCAATCCATCTCGTTAAGGGTCTTCCTCGTCTTCTCTGACCCTCCACTTAACCAAGCATGACATCTTTCTCCAGGAAATGCTCCCTTCTGACAACATGACCAAAGTAGATGAGACAAAGTCTCGCCATTTTCACTTCCAAGGTACATTCTGGCTCCACTTCCGCCAGGATATATTTATTCGTTCTTCTGGCAGTCTATGGTATT